AAAATGAAAGCCATCGATCAGTCGATCTTCCGGTATCTGTCGATCTTCCGGTTGTCTGTCTGTCTGTATGTGTTTGTGTGTGTCTGTCTGTGTCTGTGTCTGTCTGTCTGTCTTTCTGTCTGTTGGTCTGTATGTCTGCTTATCTATTTATCTATCTATCTGTCCATTAGTGTGTCAGTCTGTCAAGCTGCCGTCTGTTTGTTTGTCTGTTTTTCGGCTTTTTTGTCGGCTGGTCCATTTATTTTATGTCAACTTGTCTGTCTGTCTGCTTGTCTGTATGTCTGTCTGTCTGTCTGTCTGTCTGTCTGCCTGTGTGTCTGTTTGCCTTTTGGTCTGATGATTTTTCACTCTGTTTGTTTGCCTGTTTGTCGATTTGTTTGTCGGCTGTTCCATCTATTTATAAGGAAGTTTTTTTCGGAATGTTTGTCTGTCTATTTACCATGCTTGTTTAGGTATCGGTCTGTCGACCGGTCTGTTGACTGGTTTGCCTCTTTGTCTGTCAGTTTGTCTGTCAGTTTGTCTGTCAGTTTGTCTGTCAGTCTGTTTATTTGTATGTATGTATATGTGTCTGTCTGACCGTTTGTCTGTCGGTCTGTTGGTTTATCTTATTGGTTTGCTTGCCAGTCGGTTTGTCTGGTTGTTGGTCCCTTGCTTTGTAAGCCAGTTTGTCTGTCAATTTGTATGTCTGTCTGTCTGCCTCTCCACAGCTCGCCGGTCGGGGTGACAGCTGTAACCCGGCTGCCAGCAGAGGCCGCTGCCGTCACCTGAAGGTGACCCTGCACAGCCCGGCGGGCCCGATACGGCCTGAACCCCTCCCTTTACCCCCCCCCCCTCCCCCACCGGCCACCGACGACCAGCGACTGTCCACCGCTGGGCCGGGCCGCCGCTGCCGGGACACCCTTTCGGCACGCTATTTCTGCACTGGCGGCGGTGAGATGCCGCTGCAGAGCGGCCGGCGGCGGCAGTGACCAACCCATCTGGGCTGGTAATTCTGCCACTGCACTGTTGGCGGTCCCCACAGCAGGGGACGGGGCTGAGGAATGGTGCGGTATATCTGTCAGGATTTTATTCCGCATCTGGATAACTACCATTTATGGATAAAAAATACAGGGTGTCCGGAAAAAGTTTACCCATGAAAACTTTAATAAAATCTGCAATTTTAAGAATATCTTTACAATTTTCACACAACATTATCACAAGACTATGAGAAGTGTATGCTATAGTTTTCAAGAAAAGAGGTTTATTATTGTGGCCGAAATTGCATTACGAAAAAAAACGTGAAAAACGCACACAATATTGTATCGATTTGCACGCGCATAGACAGTGCAAAGACAAACAACATTCAAGTTCATTGACAGAATCGCACGCCTAGCCACCTCAAACATGGAATCACTTCATCAGTGTTCTGGTGTATCTCGTTTAGTGGCTGAGTGTTCGAAGTGCTGGCCACGCCTATTCAGACAGACGCTAATGCGGTGTCGGAAGTGATCCACCGTGCGTCGGCACACGTCGGTTAGACCCCAACCAGTTGCACGATTGCACTCTTAAGCTCAGCGATTGAAATTGGACAAGGCTGTCCTGCTGGGATCATCAGAGAGTCTGCAGTTGAAGCGTTTGCTGAACCGAGTTTAGTCGTAGAGTAGGTAATATAGGTATTCAGTTGTTGGTTGAGTTCGTTTTCAAAATAAAAGTAGAACAACAGAGTGTTTGTCTAGCCGGCAATGATACAGCGCGGCGGTGTGTTAGCGCGGGCCGCCGCGCTACACATCGCAAAAATAGAATAACGCTGAACAAAGAAGTTAAGGCAACATTGTTTTCATATCGACAATACTTTTTTATAACAAGTCTACGATAAGTTGCATTAACCCGCGCCCCGTAGGGGGGGGGCCGAAACGGCCCCCCCCCCTGTCTTTTTCGGTCGATATCTCCTAAACGGCTGGAGATATCGCCACCAAACTTTCAGGACCCCTCCGGGCATCAATTTTACACATTGTGACCAAAATTTTTTCCAGAGGCTGTGATAGGTTGGCCACAAATGACGTCAGAGTGACGTCATGTTCTGTCATTTTCGACCGAAAAAAGACCTTCGCGAGAAGACCTGTCAGGCCTACAGCTTTGAGGATACAGAAAAATGATCAAGACATAAAAGGTGTAGAATTGACAGGGCTACAAAACTGCTATCTCGGATTTTTGAAATTTTTGAGTTTTGATCCCCAAAAATCAAAAAAGCATTTTTTTGGATATATTAGCCAAAAAATCCAAAAAGTTTTTAGAGTTTCGAAAAAAACCGGAATATATGTGACAGTAACTACCGTCTTCTATCTACATACTAAATTTCAGATCGATACCTCGTTTTTTGGCCAAGTTATAGCGAAAAAACTGTTCAAAAATGATGACGTCAAATTTTCAAACTCAATTTTTGGCAATTCTAGAACTCGTAGAGCAAAACAAAGACCACCATTAGACTCCCCGTGACGAGCTGCATCGAATGGATACCCATTTTATGCAAAAATATCAACTTTGAAATTTGACCTAATTTGACCTGACCTTGACCTGACCTTCACCAAACCGTGACCTAGGCTGGCCCCAAAGGCTGCCTAACCCACATAATCGCATTTGTCATGTAAAATGGACCATAAAACATGTATCACACGACACATTCATATTGTGACCCCCGGTGACCTGACCTCGTGTGACCTGACCTGGTATCAGTGACCTCAGATAGCAAAGTATGTGTTTGACGAACAATATACCATCGATGGTTTTCAATAAATTACCAATTTACTCAATTTTACAGCACATTTCTTGAATTGCCTGTGAACGGTGAAAATCTGACCTTTGATCTGACCTGTGACGTCATCGGTTTGACCTAGGTCAATGAAATTTGGTCACAAGGTAGTTCCCGGGTAGGGCTATCAAACGCCGTTTGAATTTTGAAAATCGGCCGGTAACTTTCCGAGATCTTAGGGGGGGCCGAAACGGCCCCCCCCCCCCCCCTACGGGTGGTAGGGTCCGCCGGTAGCCCTACGGGGCGCGGGTTAATCGGCCGTTTCATTTTGATATAGGGAGATAAAAAGAGCACTTTCTACCTACGTATTAAAACTCAGTGCCGTACGTTATCCCAAGTCGCAGTAGCCCGATCCCAATGACCCTGCTCTCTGCATTATTTTATGGCAATGCCCTCGTCGTTCCAGTCCACTGCAATACTGTGCCAGGGGCCCCGACGGCCGGGTCGCCGCCTCTGGGGACACCTGGCGAGGCGCCATGCTCCAGTTTTCTGCAGCTGGTATGCGAACGTGGTGCCATCTACATCTGCCCAACGACACTCGCTCATGCTCGCTGTCACCTGCGCTGGAGTGACGTCATCAAAATCAGAACGGCTGCCGCGCCGTTGGCTCGTCGCCAGTCGGGCCGTGATATGGAAATATACGGAGCCTCGGCGAGACGACATGGTTTCGTTTGGTCCTGCCAAGCTTTATTCAGAGGTAGCTTCATTCCATTCCACTAGTTGAAGGTAGACAACGCGCTTTCAAACGTCATTCCAACCGTCTCTTGGTATGAAAATGCCTCCAGACCAAAGAAGTCGCTAGCCGATAAGCCGGCATGGCCCTATTGCCAATCATCCAGCTCAGCTGATTATCCTGGCTTCGACGAATTGAAGTGCAGTGGAAAGCCAAGTAACAAGAGATACCGTAGCCCTAAAAATCCTAGTATTTGTAGGATCCTCCGTAAAATTGTGCTCGTCATTGAACACAGATATCTAACTCGGCAAAGTATGTTTTATTTGTATTCACTGATGACTGACAATATCAAAGCATGTACATTCTACAATAGGAGTAGATGTCATTTGCTAGTGCGGTACATACATAGAATGATTTTATTGACAATTTTCTATCGCAACAGATAACCTGATTACGGTAGCAATTAATGGGTTAGTTTATTCTACACATAATATATGTATCAGTGACGTACCCAAGGGGGGGGGGCACGGGGGCCATGGCCCCCTCCTGAACGCCGAAGGCGCTCAGGGGGCCCCTCAGGCCCCGGTATATTTTTTCAAAGACTGGATAAAACGTCTTTTACTAGGAAGAAAAATGATATCAAAGTTTCATTTATTGCCCCTGGTTACCCGAGGGGCCCCTGATGACCCGATGGGCCCCTGCAGTCATCCGAGGGCCCCCGGTTCCCTGAGCCCCTGGTCGCCTAGGGGGCCCTGGTAGCCGGGGCCTGGTCGCATGGGGGCCCCTGATTGCTTGGGGTCCCTAGTCGCCTAGGGGGCCCTGGTAGCCGGGGGGCCTGGTCGCATGGGGCCCCTGATCGCCTGGGGCCCCTGGTCGCCAAGGAGGCCCCTGGTAGCAGGGGCCTGGTCGCATGGGGGCCCCTGGTTACCTGGGACCCCTGAGGGCCCCTGGTTGCCTGGGGCCCCTGGTCGCCTGGGCGGCCTGGGGGCCCCCGGGTGACCTAACGGCCCCTTCGGAAGCAGGCGGTCCCCTCCTGGGCGAAATCCTGGGTACGTGCCTGATGCCATGCAAGACGTTTGCTCAATTGTTCAATAATCGTCACGCAATTTGCTTTGAACTAAAAAGCGAAGCGCTATGCTCTTAGCCTTTCATATGAGGTGTTTACCTAAAACACCTGAAACTTGTTCTTGGCACAAAAGCGTATCGCGAATGTCAGGCATTTCCTTCCTGTCGACCGTACGTCATCGCCAACAAAACAGGCCGAGATCCCAATTTGTTCCATATGAACAGAGCTCGCCGAACGCATGCCCGTTCTGAGTTTGGGGGGGGGAGTGACGGGGGCCTCCCCGGACATCCCCACACCGCCAGTAACGCGCTTGTGAGACCCTTTAGAGCCCGGTCTACTTGGCACTGCGCTTCACCGCCAAACGCGCCGACAATGCGCCGCATAAAACTGTCAGCCGACGCGTGCCGACGCGCCGCCGGTCACGTGACCGTCTCCTCGGGGCATCGCTCGCACCAGCCACCAGCCCGGCCGGCCGGCCGGTGAAGGCGATCTTCCAAACGGGCGACACACCGACGATCGCGCAGGGATGGTATGATACCAGTGACGTCGGTGGTCCGTATTTGGCCGCTGGATCGTCGCCGACGCGCCATTGGCGGCCCGTCGCGGCCGACGCGCCGGCGCGCGCGCCGGAGCCGAGCTGCTGGAGCGGCGCGCGACGACCGCCAGTGGGCCTGGCAGTGTCCGCCGATCCAGACCTTGCTGCCCGGCGCGCTCATTGCTGAACACCATGGTAAGTGCAGCGGTCGGCCGGCACGCCGGCTACGACCGGCCACGGCTGGTATGACACCGAGGCTCGGCTACGGCGGCCAGCCGCGCGCCTCCCGTGCCTTCCGTGCTTTCCGTGCCTCACAGGTCTTGGCCGAGGAAGATCAGCGATCGGGACTGCTGTCGAGTCGCCACCGGTGCCGGATTGGCTTTGTGGGCCTGGTGCAATGCGAAGAGGCGTCGAAGTTTTACATGGGTGGAAGTCGGAAGAGGAGGATGTACAGCCAGTATGGTAGAAGACTGTAACTAAATACGCGGATGTGGGGTCTGGAAAGTGACTCGTAGTCATGAGGAGTTCTGAAGTGAAAGATGATATAAAGCAATCGACAACCAAATCAAACCCTACATGACTTACGCTTAGCTGGTATGGCTTTGATACTGCATTGTATGAATATTGAATAAGCAGGGACTTATAAGACAATAAGTGTGACTTATTCCTATATGAAATTGATTCCCTGTTTCATTGACAGGTCAAACATCTGTCGATAGATGGACAATGGGGTGACCTTTGGTAGCAAAGTGGGCTGCGTCACTTGCAGACACTTGCACTTTTACACTGTCATCTTCCGGGTGTCACAAAAAAACTATGGCAGAGCTGGCATCACTTGATATCACTCAGTGCTCATGTTTTAGAGTTTCGATCAGAAAATTATATTATACTTATATTGTGGGCTGTGCAGTGTTCAGCACACTTATTTTTGGCTTTATTGTCGATTCTTACACAATTTTCTGGCCTTTGCAGTTTGCTACTCTTTGCTTTTCAGTCACTCTTCAGCCACCTTTTAACATGTTGCTTATACATTGTAGGCGCAAAAAATGTTCGCAGGCTGGAACAGAAGCACATCATTCACATGCCACCCATAGGCTAGGGAATAGGGTTAAAAATGTCACCGGTCGGTCGTATACATTGTCGAAGATAGCCACCAGCCAGCCGAGCCGGGCGAATGCGCCGGTTTGGTCTGGGTAGACTGTGCCGCAGTGGTCCCGTGCGCTGCGGCACAGCATGCAGCTGCTGTTCCAGGCGAGCAGCCGAGCATGAGGCGAATTTTCAGGCAGATGTGAGATGACGACTGCGAGTTATGACTTTGAGAACTGTTGCGATGCTCATAGCAGTATGATTCCACTTCTGATACCAAAAGTCAAAGAGATGTTACTAATCGCTTTCCTTCATGGCTCTCAAGTCGCACGGCGCTTGTATATTTGAATAGCAAAAGCCTTCAATGAACGTGATGATCGAGTTTAATGTTGTCAAAATTTTTATTCACTATTCATGCTGGTTGGAGGTTCAGATTCATTCATGGAAGGAGAAACAGCAGGTCTGGTCTCCACCTAAAACTCACGGTGACTATAAATACTTAAACTCAGCCTATGGTGTGAAGTGTTCAACAGTCATCAGCTGACTATTAAACGGTAAACAGTGTTTACTGAGCAAACAGCATTAAAAGCGTAGGTACTTCAGATATCAAACAGTTAAAAAAAACCTGTATTCTGTAATAGGATCCACAGATTACGCCGATGATTGATGATTGATGACGATACTTACGATACTTAATGTTTTAAGTTACAGGTGCTTGGTGACGCTGCCACGCACACATTAAACATTGAATTAGGCGAATTAGGTATAGCGTGTTTGCAGTGACAACATTCCAAATGCTGCAGCTGCAATTCCAATGCAAGACGTGTTAATCAAATCCAAGCTGCAACAAATGTTGAGCTATCCAGTATCCATGAAGTGTCATTTTGTTGAGACTTTGCGTTAGGATCCAGCGAAAGCTCCTCCCCGTCAGGCGTCGTCTCACCCCAATCTACGCTCGACCTCGTCAGGTGTCCTGGTGTCGTCCGTCGGTCCCTGGCTGATCGGTCGGTGCCAGCCGCCCGCCCTGGAACGGTGCCCCGCCACGCCCGGCTGGTGCCCCTGACCTGTCACCGACTCGTCATCCCTGGCGCCGCGGCTCCGTAAAATTAGACCTGTCCCACTGCCGGCCGGTCGGCTATATTTGAGCGCCAGACCAACTGGCAGAGCGCTGCTGACTGAGGCGAGAAAGGTTTAACGGAGTCTGGAACTATGACTGGGCTGGGGCATCGTAAAGTCCAATGGAGCACTTACAAATATGAAATTGTTTGCGCTGACGAAGTTTCTATAGGCATGATTGTTGATTTTTCTTTTTTGCTGGGCTATTTTTTGTTAAGTTTTGGAACAACCAAACTGATCGAAGCATGCCAAATGATTGCTAACGTATCGTTATTGTGAATTTCCGTATTTTTTCATGCGTTATGATAAAAAGCAATTTGTTCTGAAAAAAAAAAATTCAAGCGAATCTTCTGTTTGTCAAATATCGAGGAAAAACTAATAAAAAACATGAACCAATTTCTGTTTGCCTTGCGCTTTTATATGTAATTCGTTTTGCTGGGTGAGATAAGCACGATGGAATTCTGCAACATTCTTGAACTAATCGCTGGCTACCTCTTTCCTTCTTGCTGACAAATGGAATCCCGTAGCAATGGTCAACAGCTCGTCGTAAATCACCTGGCCGTGACGGCGCTAGGACTTGGTCCTTGCCATCCCCAGCCAAGAATCACAGTGCGATGACAGTGACGAACTTCAGCGATGTCGTCGCCCGCGGATTGCCAACGTCCGGGCCTCTCTGTTGACAGCGCTGCCAGGGCCGCCGGTCAAACTATTTCCGTACTGTCATTTGTCGCTGCCCGCCAAGACGGGTTCTTTGACATATCAAACAGTCACGGGATTGATCTGATTCGTGGATTTTGCCAACCTGGCTTTGAAATTTGGCACCGTTTAACGCATTTTTGTCTCTTTCACAGGCTGACGAGAAGGAGAAGAAGAAGAAGAAGAAGAAGAAGGAGACTGAGGAGGCTCCGGCCCCGGAGCCCGCTCCCGCACCGGCCCCCGAGCCGGCCAAGCCCGCCGCCAAGCCCGCTTCCAGCAAACGCAGCAGCGTAAGTCAGCGACAACTTTGATGGTTAACGTTATCATATTTAGAAGAAAAAATGTTTTGATGCTGAATTTTAAGTTACGTTTTAAGCTATGTTTCGTAACTCAGTTGCACGTATATTTGTTATTTAAATATTTATTGATTGTAACATATGCATTATGCAGTACGATAAGAATCCGTGGAAATTTGGTAAAAGAATGACGTCCGAAAATTGTACTATTATAATTAATTTATTTTCAAACTGGCTTATCTTATTTTAAATCCATACCGTTTTTAATCAATACTGCAGTCCGTCACAGTGATATTAGCCTATCATATAGCTTCAGATAAATTAAATGAAAAAATGTGTTCAAAGATTCCGTTGCACCAGTACGTAACTATTCGTATCCCCGTCGTTCTCTTGACAGTCGAAGCGGTCAAGCAAGAAGAAGGGCAGCAGCGTCTTCTCCTGCTTCTCCCAGCAGCAGGTCAATGAGTTCAAGGAGGGCTTCCAGCTGATGGACGCCGACAAGGACGGCATCCTCAGCCACTCGGACATCCGCAGCGCCTTCGACATCATCGGCCGCATCGCCTCCGAGAAGGAGATCGAGGAGATGCTGGCCGACGCGCCGGGCCCCATCAACTTCACCATGCTGCTCTCCATGTTCGCCAGCCGCCAGTCGGGAGAGGCCGACGACGACGACGTCATCGTCAAGGCCTTCCAGGCGTTCGACGAGGGCGACGGCACCATCAACAGCGACACGTTCCGCCACTCGCTGATGACCTGGGGCGAGAAGTTCACCGCCAAGGAGGTGGACGAGGCGTTCGAGCAGTTCGACATCGACGACGACGGCAAGATCGACCTGGCCGGCGCGCTGGAGCTGCTCGTCGGCGGCAAGAAGGAGGAGGAGGGCGAGGCGGCGGCCTAAGCACGACCTGGGTACGTGTTCCCACGGAGACAGGACGGAGAGGGGCGGGCTGGGCTCGCACGGCAGATACTAGTTAATATATGGGCTATAATTAAACGGGTTCTCCTTGCATAGACAACGCTATCGATAGGACGAGTCCGTCCGTGCTTCACTGCTTAGGCTGTCCACTGTCCAGGCTAAAAGAAAATGTATCGAATGGTCTGTTCTGGTGCAGGCTATCATTCTTTTCAACGGTTGTCAATATATAAAAGTTCACAAGAATTGGTTTATCACATATCCGTTTCTGTTCCAGGCGAGCTACATTTTTATTCGCCCGGTCGCCACCTGGGCCTCCTCATGCCTCACTCATCACAAAACCTGAACATCTTCACCCTCGGAACCACCGGTCGCCCGAGCCAATCAGCGACCAGTCTCTGCCGCGGGAGCCAATCAGCGGCGAGCAGCCCTTGCACGGCAGCTACATCGGAATGCTAGTGAACACCGCCTGTCTGGAACGTCGATTCACAGTGTATCTAAAGCTGTCCTACCGGATCGACAGGAATGGGCCCGGTTACACTCTCGGCGGGAACCTGTCTCGATGTTGATGATTGTCTGTATGAAATGTTGATGCCTTTGTTAATTTTTTGGACATTATGCTGTGGATCGGGCACAGAGCCTTGAATCGGTGCTCAAGACTCCGTGTCTTATTGAATGTGTAATACGGGCCTATTGTATAAATTCGAAAATACCGCCATGTGTTTGGTGAGCGAATTTGGCTAGGTGAGACGGATAAGGGTCAAATGCCGTCGATTCTTCCAACGCAACACTTGTTTGTCTGATGTCATACATCCAGGGTTGTGCTCGACTCAAAAAAAATTGCCGACTCGACTTATCATTCAACTTCAGAATACCCTGACTCAACTCTGACTCAAACAAGGATCTGATTTTTCCCTTGACTCGACTCATGACTCAAGCGGCTTAATGAAAATATGAGTTGACTCAAACTTGACTCAAATTTTTTGTTGAGTCAAATGTGTTGACTCAAAATTGACTCAGATAAAAAAAATTGTTGAGCGGGGGGGGGGGGTAAAAAAATATGGCAGCAGGGCCAGCTGCCTAAGTTGTTAAGCGGGGGGAGAATGAAAAACTTATACTATATATTGTTTCTAAAAAGTTGAGTCAGCTGACTCATGTTCCTAAATGTTCTTGACTCAACTCAATGTCAAAAGTTATTTTACTGACTCAACTCTGACTCAACTCAACACCTTAATATTTTGTCCGACTCAACTCTGACTCAACTCAACAGCTCAACATTTTATCCGACTCGACTCAAATCTGACTCATTTGAGTCAGAGTTGAGTCAAATTTCTGACTCGACTCATGAGTCAAGCACAACCCTGCATACATCAAAAACAAAAACGGGTAATCGTCGCCCTCACTTTCTCTCTCCCAGTAGCTAACAAATTACCATGAAGTGATGCAGATAGTTCTGGAAAAATCACGTCGATTTTAAGGTTTATTTGTGATCTGTCACAATGTTGTCACACGCTGCACACCGAATGCACAGGTCATGGAACTAGCAACAACCAACAGTGGCCTATATATACTTCATGGGAATACTTGACGGCGCGCACTCCGCCGCTCGGGGCGGAGGGCCGCCCAACATGCCAGCACTCCATTCACAAAGTATGGTAACAATAAATAGATATGATGGCGGTACGATGGAAAACGAGAGATTCGTTCGCTCTTCGGCGGCTAAAACCTTGAGCACGGTGCGCCACCCATGCGTCCAACACTCGATCTGCGTCACACATCCGTCTCAGGCGCGCCACATTCACACAATCGCAGGCAGCAGCGCGTCTCTAGAAATTTCGATGGCCTAAGACGGTTTGAACTCGATCGCGCGCAGCCCGAGTGACGGCGACTCATTAACAGTGACGTCACACGCTGCCGCGTGACGTCACCGTATCGGTGTGACGTCACCGTTCCACTCAGCCCGGGTTAGCTGCTCACACACTGCCCAGTCTGTTCGCCGGCACGCGCGCACGGTGTCCGCTGGCGCGTCACCCGCCCCGCCGTCTGAACGGTGGATGATGGTGGCGGGAGACAGCCGACCGTCTCCGGAGCCTCCCGCACGGACCAGCTTCAGATAAAATGAAGCCCGCCGGCTGGAGACTTAGTTGCAGTTCGGCGTCGGGCACTTGACTGGAAACGAGAAAAGGAGTCAGTTAGTTAATTGGCATGTTATTTGAGAGTGGGAGCTGATTTTTCCTCGGAGTTGTTATTGAAACGTTCGTATATCTCGAGACTGAGTCAAAGTCCACAGCAAACATATCAGCCTGCTGCATTTTATGTCTCTTGTTTTTTTCTTATGGGAGTTAGCCACTCTTTTGTTTGTTTGTTTGTTTTGTTGGGTTAGGCCCTTTCGGTCGACAAGACCATTGCAGAGCCGGAAGGATGATAGGGAATAAGGGGGAGACATTGGTCTGGGCAGGCATCCTAGTGAGTCGCCGGGGCTGAGCCCGTCCGAAGACAGGCCACCCAGCCCCAAGGCACTCACTGCACCCGGCTACGGGGTGCGCTCCCTCGGGAGCAGCGGTGCCGCTCCAAGGGAGCAGCCCGCATGAGATAAAGTTGCCTGTCCAGCCCGGAAGGGGGTGGCGGTGTGGAGGAGAAGGATTTCAGTATCCTGAGGATAGAAGCACGGATAGGTGAGCCACTCTTTATCTCACTATCGACCTCAAGCATCTCCCAGTGCCTCCTCCTGACCCTCTTCACCGGACCTGCATCGACCTCCCACCACACTAGCGCCACCTACACGGTCCCTCCCAGCCACCCTGGTAGCGCCATCTGCAAACTCACCGCAGTGTCCGAGCCTGTAGGCGTGTCCCTCGGGGCACTTGTGACAGCAGAGCGACGCCTGGGCCTTGTTGCGCTTGCCCTTGCGCTGCCTGATGGGCAGCACGAGCTCGATATTGTCGTAGTCGATGAGGGTCATGAAGGCGTTGTCCTCTGTGACGGTGCTGAGCGCCTCGCTGACGATGTCGATGAAGCCCTCCTGGTCAGTGATGTTGTAGACAGGTGTGTCGATGGTGAGCACAACGTCCATCAGCGGACGGCCGTCCTTGTCCAGCTGTAGGGGAGAGACGAGTAAAGTCAGAGAGATAGTATGGGATGGTGCCAGGACAGGTGGGGAGGACAAACAAACAGAATACGTTATCGTTTATTATCACTTGCTACGGAAACGGTGGTATTCTTATCGGCACTTAATTTGGCTCATGGATAAGGGCTTCATCTAGTTATTTTCGTCGTTTCTTGGCTCTCAAATAGCCGCTCTCTCAGAGCTTTTTCTGTAAAAAGTTCCTTTGTACTATTGGTTTCTAAAAAAAGACTAATAAATAAGTACCTATACACATTACACAGATGCAACAGAGGCCGGCCGTTGCCGTTCACTCACGGAGGCCTTGGTGGAGAGGTCGGAGACGCCACACTCCTCCGGGTACGGGCAGAAGATGTCGTTGTACTTGTAGACCAGTCCATCGAACTGGTGCTGCAGCGACTCGACCGACTCGCGCTGGTAGGTGATCTTGTACTGCAGGTTGGCAGAGTACACGGGCACAATCTCTGCCGAGATCAGAGACAGGGAAGGTCAGTCAGGTGGCACACACAATGGTGGATGGGCGAACAGCAGTGAATCAGCGTCGAACGATTGTTTTATCAGTCCCAGTGCTTATCTTAACGCAGCATCGGTACTGAAAAAGCACACAAAAGAAAATAAAATCTTAAAAGAAAGAACATTCCGAAAATGAACAAACATGAAACTGCAAAATGCATTAGATTAGGTAGCATGAAAAAGCCGTCTACGTAAGTCTCAAACAGTCGGTTCTAATCCCACGCCTGCCGAGTTTTTTTATTCTACTCACGGTAGCACTCTGGTGCGCTGCCCTCGGGGCTCCACTGTCCGCCGGCGCCGCAGTCGTACTTCTTGGCGGGCGGGTCGAAGAAGCCGTATCCCTCCTCGCACTGGGCCTGGCACATGGAGCCCTTGCTCCAGAGCACCTGGTTGTTGCAGTCGCCGTTGGCGTTCACCTCGGAGACACCGCGGCACAGCGTGGTCGTGTGCAGAGGCGCCACGAAGTTGGGGCACGTCTCCACGTCTGTTGATGGAGAGCGCGGAGAGGTTAGATGCAGGAAAATGACACATGGTTAGCCTGCCACTCTATTACTGACAAGAGTTGACTATGTGAAGACTTCAACATTCTAGAAATAGCTTCAACAAAATGTTTGTGCAAGAAATGCGTTATTGAACAACACCATGAAAGGTATTAGTCATTTCGCCATTTTCGTGTCCCACGCCTGCCGACTGTGTCTATTTCTTACCGACGGCCTGGTTGACGGTGGCGGCGGGTCCGAGCTGAGAGTCCTCCAGGACGGCGGCCACCGAGAAGGTGTAGTCCACGTTGGGCTTGATGCAGTAGTCGCACACGGCCGGGTTCATGTCGAACGTGCACTGCTGTTCGTCACACTGCGGGCGGAGCGGAGACCGGGGTCAGACACGCTGCGTCTCAGCTCGATGGGCATGGGAACGGTCCGGCCGGCCGACAGCCAACGGTGCGGCCTCAGAGTCGTTAGTTAATTGGAACGGCTTACAGGTGTTACCACACCGTGTGGTTTGTTTCTTCGTAACGTGACGACGAAAAATGAGCAGACTTGGAGAAAGGGCAGCTTGCAGTAAACAGCAATAAAAATCAGTGGCCGCGGCGAGATAAACAACCACGACAGCGGTATCAGGTGGGGCGGTCGAAAAACCGGTCGTCTGCAAACCGGGGGGCAGAGGGATTTAGCCGATCTGCCAGAACGATCAGAGAGAAACAGAGGGGAAGGGGGAGACGTCGAAGGTGACCGCTCGTCCCATTCTCTGCAAACCCTTCTTCGCTTTGTTTTACAAACTGCGGATCCGGGCACCCCACCACCAGGCCCACTATCTGGTTACCTTGATCTCGGTGTCGTAGCTGGTGGTGCCTCCCAGGATGACCATGATGTAGGAGCTGAGGTCGCCCTCGCAGGCCGGCCGGTCCCAGGTGATTCGGATCCAGGAGACCAGCTCAGAGACCCGCAGGTTGTTGGGCTTGCTGGCCTCCACATTGTCGGCTGTGGCGGGGACGGGAAGGTCAGAGAGGTCGGGTCACGGTCAGGGGCTTGGTGTCGGTGCATGCTCGGCACCAGGCACGGAGACCGGAGTCAGTGGCGTGGATCGTGACTCAGAGCTCGCCTTAGTAACGGACAAAACCTCGGCACAATGGGACCTCAGCCTGTGCGAGTCATGAACACTATGAGTTACATTAGCCACGGAGCAAAGCACAATGAAAGGGTCCGGTAAAAGGCAACGGAACAAGCACTAAAAAACGTCAACAGCATAAGTCCACTAGCAATGCAGTCAGCGAAAGTGCAGCAGCCTGCCTACCTACAATAAAGCTACCACACAGCATGTATTTCGTACAAGAAGTCACCGCGTTCGTCACGCGATGCAGGATGAGAAGCCACAAGAACGTCGCGCCTGGTAACCTACAAGTCATTCCACGAGTGAGCGTCTAACTTTCCCTGAAATCGGCTGCGGACCGATCACGGCGCTAGCGTTTCCGCCACTGTCGCTTGCATGCTTCCGGGGTCGGCAAGAATTGCCCCCGGCACGTGAGCTTCTCACGCCCTTCGGTCCAGCGAGAGCGAAAGAAGCTCGCATGTTACACAAGTGAGTGCGCGCACCGCTGCACCGGCGCCGCGCCGCTGCGTTCCCAAGGCGCTGGACTCATTAGGCTGCGGCCACCGCCAGTGAAAGTGCTGCTCGATCTGCCACGGACACCAGTAATGAGCGCCATGGGAGCCACAGACAGCCTCGGCAGCGGGTTACTCCGTTAGCCCGTCATCGCACCCACCCGCCCGTGCTTCGGGCAAAGCAAACGTAATGCGTCACAAGTGCGTCACAAGTGCGTCACGATGGCTCGGCGTGACGGCACCGTCACGTCATGTCACGTCTGAAAATCATCGGACGGCCTACCGCTCTTCTGGCAGATAAAGTACTGCAGCTTGTGGTTGCCGGGCAGCGCCTGGAGTTTGTACGGGAACTGCTCCTTTCCGTCGAGCAGCGCGCCCACCGAGGCGCCCGTCAGGCTCGGGATGCTGTTCCACTCGTTGTCCGTCTCCGGCACAGACCAATCACAGAACGAGTTGCTAATGCACCGGGTGCCGTCCGCGTACCTCCACCGGTTCGGCTCGACGCAGTCGGCGCTGAAAACAGAGACACGGACGGGGTCAGACGACAGTGACGTGAGCGGGTCAGAGACGTGACGTGGACATGACGTGAGAACACGGGTGGACGGGCCTGTCCGTCTAAAACCGGACGGTCGGCCGACGGGATGACGAGCCGGCCCGTCCGCCTTTCACCGGTTCGGTAAAAACAGGCGCGCCTCAAAGTGCTGACCTCCGATGTAATCTGTGACAACGTTAAATCTTTCGATCTTAAGTGGTCCAATCTTGGCCATCACATGAGCATAAGCGCACGCGATAGGCGATGAGTTTCACAAACTGCAGGTGTCCAAAAGCTTACGGTGACTATTTTGGGGTCATCATTGTTATCTCTCTTGGCTAAAAATCTCGATTTTAGTTGTGGGTGTTTTGTAATGGGATGAAACCTGCACATTTATGTTAACAAATGCTTAGTCGGCCTGATAAGGATCCCTTCGAAAGATTTAGTAAATTCAACCATGACTACTCGCTCTCTTATCAGTAAAATTCGACCCACCGGTACCCGTGCGGTCTACAGCGGAAGTCTAACTGTGGGATACTTCAGAAGACGGTTCTCTCCCGCCCAGGGTTCACCCCCGTGGAGTCATTCACGCGCGCCGATTTCACAAACCGGCCTCCCGCCGAAGCGAACCGCTAATCGCTCCGAAGGAGGCGCGGCCTCCCCGCGGCAGCGGAGGTCGACCATCGAGTTTTCCCTGCGCGCGATTCCGGTTGATCTATGGTGGCGGCGCGGCCCGGGGACGGACTTTCTCTCCGGATGTCGGCGGCGGGCGTGGTGCCGGCAGAGGACCCGTGCTGATCGGATCAGCGCTGAGCGGGCCCGGACCGGTGCGCAGAGAACACCTGCCCGTCAGCGGCGCCCCGGCGACATTCCGCCGACCCGCTCTGCGGCGACCAGATGTGACGGACAATGACAGCGAACGGTCCGTGCGCGCGGGGGCAAGAAAATAAGCCGATCCGGTCATCAGACTTTGTCCGACGAGTCCCAAGCTCTGCGTTTTAACTGGCTCGCACAATGCCGGCATACAATGCACGTGCTTTCTGCACAAAGCGGTTTAGGATCTAGTCTTGCGTATTGTGCAGCGTCCTGTTCTTGCATTAGCAACACAAATGGTGACGTTTGCAGCCACTGCAGTTCATCGACACTTTGGCGAAACAATCGCTGTATTTCAAGTCGCGGAATGTACTGATAGTCAAATCGCCGCCCTCGGGAGCGCGTGGCGTATGTCGGGCACGTGGCGAGTCGTGCTCTGACCCCTATGCGCGGCCACGTCTGAGTTCTAACACGGCTTCGTCTGGCTCCTAACACGGTCTATCGCCAGTTTCATCTGCGCCGGGCAGAGAGAAGCACCGCGCGTCCGGCACTGCTGGTGATCTCTGACACGACAAAACGCGGTCAGTGCCGCCGGCGACGACACCGGCCGCTTTCACTGGTGTCACTGTGATCGGGCGGTGTCTGACACGGTGACACGGCACCAGAACCGGTCTCAGGAGTCAGGGGCCGGGCATGCGCCATCGGAATGCTGCATCGCCTACTCACGCATGGGGTGAGCTTATGAAAGAGTTGGGATATTGGTCTCTAGGCCAATCAACTCCAAGATGTGTGAATATGAATAATTCCGATCCGACTTTTCGCACTTTCGACAAGTAATGTTGTTTAATTCAGCATGTAAATCTCGCTCTAAAATATGCAGACTGTAAGTGTAGACCATAACTTGGTGCCTCAGATGCCAAAAAAGAAGACTACATTTGAGGCCATATCTCCGCCCTATTTTTGGGCTGCGACCGTCTCGCACCCGGCTCAGTCCCCGCCCCCCCCCCCCCCCACAGTTCGGTGTCGAACACCGGCGTTAGCCCGAGGGCTGGTCGCCGCGGTCACAAACATGCCACGTCACTTTCGGTGAGCGGCGCGACATCGGTTGGGTAACGACTCTGGAGCTGTGGTCTGGCCCACTGAGCAACAATGAGCCATCGCTTGGTGATTTAGAGTGCCACTCAAAGGAAGCGGGCTGAAAGATGTCACCCTGTTTTACTCACCCACAAAACATGCCGATGAATGCCCGTCTTGTTGAGTCGTCGAGTGCCTCGACAATGCCCTCTCCCATCGTTCTCAGGTACCGATATTCCTCCAACGACTTCGGCGTAGCCAGCACGGCTTTTTCCTGTCAACGGATACACATCATAATTATTTTTTGAAGATGCCGATGAAAAGCGATTTTTCTAAACTATTTAATTACAATGCATATAGTTGATAATTGATATTGAGGACACAGACTTATGAACCTTATAGGTACATAGGCAAGGTTATTCATGACTTTTGACTTATGAAAGTTGCAACAGATTCTTTGACGCCGTATATTGCCCTTCCCTTCAAGTTCGCACTCGGTCGTTTGTTACTCACCCTCCGACAGCCGGATATGGCTTCGTTAAAGTCTATTGGAGACTTAACGTATGCTAATCTGTAGCACAGCTCTCCAAACTTTACATATCCGGGATCACATTGCCCTGGAAAGAACAAATTATTAGTTTTGCGCGCTGAATACTTGTTTTAACAAATAAATATGCTATGTAAATGCAACTTGTTGTAAAAATGACATGTTGATTTTCATCGCTGCAAGTTGCAACAGAGTGCAATATAAATTGCAACAATATTAGAAATGAGCATAAAACATGGTATTTCTCGAACTACTAAAAAAAAAATATGATAAATATATTGTTTCAGATAAGCGAAGCAACCAAGCACCGTCAGCAGCTTGTTGTCGATGTAAGGAAATGCGTAGCGTTCTGAAAACATGTATGGCATGTTTTACTTCAACGTCACCACAATGGCGGCAGAAAATAAAATCCAGTCTACGCACGTCCTTACTCAACGCGACCTTATTTGCAGCTCTGCAGACGGGCCGTTCAACTCTGAACGCCCGTCGGGCAGCTGAGGTCTGTGTTTTAGTAGGGCGGCGGGATGCGATAGAAATGGGCGGCGGTCGGCATTATAGGGCCATCACCACAGCAGCGGGCTGGTAAAGCGGCAGGGTATACAGCAATATTGCAGATGCAGCGAATATTCCAGCGGCACAGCTGAGCGGTCTGACTACACATGGGGTGGCACTATCCACCACCCGCGGCGGCCGCGCCTCTACGGGACAGAGCTGGAGAGAAGCGGTCAGAGGGGCGACAGAAGAGGAGGCAGTCCACCCGTCGGCCAGGCCAGCGCGGCCCGGCAGACGCGGCGTGTGTACAGAAGCTGGCGGCGGTTAGCGGCGCTGCGCCCACGGCTCCCGCACGGTCCTACACCTGACATGTGACCCGTCCCGCCCCGTGCCCGTGGCCACTTACGGGTCGTCCGTGAGTCGGTCGGCGGCCGGGGTCGCCTCGAGTCCGGTCTCGCGCTCACTCACACACTGTGTCGGCGTCTCTCTGTGAGTCGGGGCACGCACCAGGAGTGGCCATGCCGACACGAGGCGCGCTGAAAGGTGACGACGCGCGCGCGCAAACCGTTCGACGATGCGACGCGATCATGCCCGTTGCCTCAAACACAGGCCGGCCAGCACCGCGATCGGGCGCCCATGCTGGAACGCGTCCGAGAATACAACCACACTAGAACCGACACCCAAAGACGGTGGAGAGGAAGGAAATGGGAATGGTAAATGGTGTACGAGGACAGCGGAACGGAACTCAAATCAATTGATAACTTGAGTGAGGTGTAAGTAAGTGAAGGGGAAGGTCTATGGTGGCACATGGACAGAGTGTAGATTTTATGGACAGTGGACGATGAACAGTCTGAAAAGTGGGCGACCGATCAAGAATGGAAGTTGCATGCATCACCTCATGCATCACGAATCGGACAGCACAGTGCATCCAAAAGAAATCGACTCACTTGCTAGTTGCTACACATATATAAAAATGGTAAACTTGACTACAGACTACTGGCAAAACAGCTATCTCACAGCGGGTCAAATACGATCAAAGTTTAGTAAAAGAGTCCATTCTGAAAGAAGTTATATAGTGAATAGAAAACACCATAGTTAACACCTTCGCAAAAGTCGGTTTGAAAGAACAAGTAAAAGAGAGGAAAACAAATCAAAAAGTGTTAAAAGCCAAGTGTAATTAACTGTTCTATAATTCATGTGGAGCAACTGTGATATTTATTTCCAACAAAAATGTTCCGAGAAAGTAATTTTTTATCAATGAATTACATGTTTTAACATTAAAAGACTTTGAACATACGTTTTCAACAAATGAATAAGACCACTTCAATACAAGAGCGCCGTTTTGAGCAAAAAATACAGATAGCTCAGCACATACATAGATTGGCAGATACTACTCACAAGCCAATTAACATCTATAAAACCATCTAAGACGAAACGACAGCACACATATAGGTAGGTACCCCAATGCAGTGCAGTGCATAATGTACCGGTCAGTGTTGTGATTCAAAGTCCCCGCCACCGGTGAGTCCCGGAACAGTCCCGGGTCTCACCGTCAACAGACCTTGACCCAGCCGTCCGCCGTCACACGCGGTCCGGAGACCGAGAGCTGCGAGCGGCCGACGGCTGGGCCAGGTCACCAGATCACGAAACGAGAGCCGGGGAGAGCGCCAGCGACAGATAAAGAAAGAGGGGGCCGAGACGGGGTTCCTTCCAGGGCGAACTGACAGCCGTGATGGTTCGATTATGAGAACCGTTTGAGGCTCAGTTGGTCTGTCATCGCCACTGGAAGAAACCGAGTCTGCAAGAGACCCCAACCATCACCCGTAAGTGCTCCTTACGAAGCTTGCAAACCACGGCCCCCACACACAAGCATGCTCAGAAAGAAAGATGGGGAAGGAGCCGTTTTAGTGCTTAGTGTTTAGGCTGAGAGGACCATCTACTTAGAGACCGTTAGGAGGATGCATAGAATAGAGCAGATGCTGCGAGCCCTTATCCCTCGTGCACACTCCGCTGTGCGTCCTACAGTCAAAGTCCGAGAGGTCATAGTCATTCACAAGAAAACAATGTTGGCAAACAGGTCAAGTCATGTCGCTAAGGTTACAAACAAAATATGAATACAATTTTAAGCTAACGTCAAAATCGATTGCCAAATGCTATCAAACGCACTTTGTCGAAAATTTATTTTAATTCTCTACAAGGAAAGAGATGACAAATTTTTCCGTCAATAATCAGTCTTCTTTACGATGAAAATCCTGCCAGTTTCTCTGTCGTCCAAAAGAACATCGTTATGCGTCGCTGATGTGTCCATAACTCATTGTTTATTCAAGAGAACGTCTGACACGTTCAAACTCTCACTTCCGCCGTTCAAGCGGCTAGAAGGCGTCAGTCAAACTTGCCTCTTATACGCTTTCTAACGAATTTGGGGCTGTCGCTTGCGTAAGATGTCATGCTGTGGGCAGTTAATGTCTAATTGTCAGTCAGTTGGTTCCTAGACCGTCGCAGTCCGGTCTAACGGTCAGTTTTGTCACCAAAAAGAGTGGCACGCTTACATCCCAATTTACTAACATCTAGCACTTCTACACCCTTGACTAACAAAGCCCTAGAGTGCACGTTGTTTTTTAGCTCGCAAGTCAACATCTCTCCACCCACTGTATTGTCGCTAGGAGTGTTGTATGTATCATGGGAAAGTGTGTCTGCAGGTCGGTCTTTATTTATCCCGGCTCTGCAGCACGCTGCGGCGCTGTTCGAGCCCACAAGTCTGAAGAGCCCTCAAAACGTGTGAAGGCTGCAGGTGACTGCGGTCTTCAGGGGCCGCGAAAACATACAATCCCCCATCTGTCGGCATTTTTCAGCTTTCAGAGTGCGGCGGTAGCCGGGAGAGAGGGCCGGATCGTGCTGATTTCAAGGTGAACCAGGCAGCCGGGAACCATGAGCTGAAGATTTGCTCAGATCCTCTCTGCCCACGGATAACAACTGAGGAATTATAGGGCTTTCAACTCTGTATTTAAGAAAAAAAAAGAAAATGCATAGCTAGCCTAGAAATAAGTGCATGCTATTACAAACAGCAGCGACTCACTTGTCAATGAAAGAAGCTGAATTTGCTTATGGAAATTTTAAGTAAGCAAAAATGCATTTCAAAGTTTTCATTATAAGTCTTGATCATTTGTTTGTTCCCTGGCTCCCAAGAGTGGCGTTCTTCGCATCAATGAAGCCTTGATTAAAGCAATGCCTGCGGTGATATCTTCTTGTGTGCCGTCGCAGTTACCGTCCCTGATACGCTGCTATGCCAAGTTGCAGCTCCCACAGCAAGCTGCGGTGACTTTTGAAACGCATGTGTGCAGACATGGCCCCCTGCAGATACATGAGGAAAGCATTTAAGGTACCTATGCGTGTTTCCAATGAAGGCATATGCGGGTAATCTTTACAGGAAAAGGTCCAGCAGTTGTCAACTTTCCAGCATCCCGTCGTAATATCCTGAAAAGGAGCGATGCGCGCCCGTGCATCGCTATTTTATGGCAAAAAGACAGCTTGAACATCTCCGACCTTCTATTCACGACAGTATCATCGGACACTGGCACGCGGCTGCTGCACATGGCTGACTGCATTACCGTGAATCATTTCTGCTAGCTGGGGGGGGGGGCTGTGAGGGGGCGTGGCGGGGTCGTGAAGACCTCCGGGTACTCACGGGAGCCGCAGGGAGGTCCGCCGACGCCCAGCTGGTTGGCAGAGCTCGATCCCACCTTCCGGCCCTGAAACGGTGCAGACCAACAGTACACGGATGGAGACTCGGGTCGGCGAGCTGCACTGCGCCACACATGCTCAGGGGGTAGAGAGGCTCTCCGGGGCCGGGACAGGCAGGTCCCAGCCCCGGGCGCCAGACGGGCTCAGCAGGTTGCCGGGGTGCGTGCTGCGTGCGTGTTATCTGATTAGCCAGCCGCCGCGCCGGTTAGAGTTACAACGTTTCGTCAGTTCGCGGAGAAACGAGTTGTTTTGGTCATGTAACACAGAGTCTTTGACATGTTTACTGTCATGAGGTTATGAGGATCGGGATGATACGGATCTTATCGGCTTTGATGCAATATGCCTCGGTAACATGTCACTCTGAATTGTTTCGTGACTGAGGGTCACGATGAAAGTATGCATACAGATTTTCTTCGGCAATATTTTAGCTTCCCTGTTGGTAAGAATTCGGTATTTGGGTAATTCATTGCAATTTTCCCCCCCGATTTCTCGGCTCAAAATGCTGAATGAATGGCAAAATGCAGCGATATTCTTGCTGATAAAAGTTGTATATTTCTTCAACTGAATCGCTGTCTTTTCTCGACTCATCGCACGGCTCCTTCTGGGGCGCTGATAGAGCCTGACCTACAGGTATCTCTTTCTCCTCGGCCGGCCGAGAGCGGCCCCGAGACCGGCCGATCGAGCGAACCCGACTGACCGAGCGGGACCCGAGGCGCGACCGGCAGAGCGCCGGAGAAAAAGAGCGCCGGACAACGGCCGTGCATACCGGATGAGCGTTAAAGTGGGCCGCGGCGGCCGTCTCTGGGACAGGTTCCGTCAGTGACCGGCCGGCCGGGTCAGCGCGCCGCTGCCGGGGCGGTCCGGTAGCCTACATACCGGCGACCGGCTGGGCCAGATTCGGGCCCGCCTGTCTGACCGCCGCAGCCGCTATCACCTCCGAGCTGCGGGGTGTCGCACGGTGCCCGGTCGCGGAAATGAGCTTTAGATTCGCATTATCTATAAACTACCTACTGAAGTTGAACGAAAAGACACGGGTCGTGAACATGTGAGGAAAGATACCTATTCGTTTACCAGTAGCCATAAATCTAACAGCAAAAATACCAGGAACATGGGTCTTTTGAAAAAGAGAGGTTACTTCATTCCAGTTGATACATTTGTGCTACAGCGAGAATTTTCCCGAACTAAAAACATCAAAATTGTTTCACGACACACAGGTGCAGTGAGCACAGATCGTGGGAGGGAACTCCAAGGGCTTGTAGGTCTATTTGAACAAGAAGCAACAGCACATTTCGAGGAATTAAAAATGTTCCAGCTGCAGCTGAAACGTTGCATAGCGGTGAAGGGGGGAATTTCTCTGTCGGCGAGTGCATGCGCGACATGCAGTCAAAATTCCCAGGCTGGGTTAAGCTATGCGGTATACTGTAAACTTTGATTAATTGCAATAGGACTTGGAACGTGCTATTCACACGGCTATACATACGAGTAGTCGTGATGGTTACATAAGAAGTCGCTTTCGTGACGGCCAAAGCAATTGGCGATAAAAATAATGCTTTAAGCGTGCATTTGTAAAACCATTATAGGTAAGTTGACGATTGGCGATCATCATGCATGACACGTTAAACAGACAAAAGAAACTACTGTATATGCTAATGCATAGTCTATCCGTAGTAAGTAACATTTCGCTGATAACCGAATGAATTTTGCAGGCATGTTGCAACTAGAAAAGTGTTTCTTAGCATCAACTAAAGGTTTTTTGAGAAAAAAAAGAACAACAATTCGTCATTTGAATAAGGAACGGTGGCAGGTATGCGTCTACGGGAAATTAGGGAAATGAAGACTTCCAGTTAACGGTAAACGTTATAAGTCGTACGAGGGTAATTTGTCAGTGCTCACGATGCTAGCTCGTAACTACAAATGTGCATGCGATTGGTTAGCGTTATGGCAATTTACGAACAGTTACGTCCAGAAAACAGGAATAAAGTTACAAATACCTATGATCAACAGTGAAAGGTTTCATTTCCTTTTTAGTATAAACGATTTTCATCAAAGCAATTTCATAGCTAATGTTTGAAGAACTTATCTTATTTTGAATAAATATGACAAAAGAACAAAAGCTAAAACACAATAAATAGCATGCCAAAGTAGCAAAACTTTTTCTTGTTGAAAAAATTCATCACCTACATTTTTCTTTTCACTTTCGACCAGCGGTTTGCCATGCTGGGTGATTTAATAAATGATGGTTGAATGGATAAATATAATAGATTTAACCAAAATAAAGCAATTACCTCTTGGGCCTCATATGAGACCCTTAGGTACACAATTTACCTAAAGTAAAGCGGCAATCAGTTAGCTCGGTGGAGTGTCAATATAGCAGCGCACGCAGTCACGCACCCCGGCCCCGTCCCGTGAGCTCGCGAGGCGCCGAGCCGGCGCGACGGCTCGCTGTCTTACCAGGATTCCCTGCTGGGGGCTGGCGGCGGCCAGCGCCAGGCAAGCGGAGAGGAGCGTCACCAGCCTCATGTTTCTGGCAGCACGTCGTGAGCGCGACTGGCTGGCGAGCGCCGGCGCCGGTGACCATCTGGCCGAGCGCGGCGACCTAGAACGGCGCGGCGCACCGCCGCCGGCGCTGGCTGCGCCCGCCCCCGGTCCGACGGGCTTCCCCCGCCGGGCAGAGCTGGGCCGAGAGCAGCGGCGGAGGTGGCGGAGGCGGCGGAGCTGGATCGCTAAGAGGGCACGGACAGTGCGGAGATATAGCTTGCAGCGACTCAGAGAGCACGAATCAGTACAGAACGATAAGATTGACGGAAAGATGCATGGCGTAATAAAACACTTCGCAGCGTATGTAACAGTTACTACAAATACACTTTTTCCATCACTTCCCAATTAAAATTGCGTTGATGAGCCCGCCATACCTCAACAGAAAGAAAAAAATTACCTTTGTTAGAAATACGCCATTTGCCTGGTTTGTGCAGCTTTGTGCTTTCTTCACGTGTCATTTCAGAATTAGGCATGTTATTCCTAAGCAAAACAAGTGCACCAAAATGCCTATCATTTTGAGAGAATCCTGCTCAATGCCAGTGCACACCACGAACAGTACGAGACCCTTTGCCAACAGATAAGCATGCCGAGAAATTACTCATATGATGGCACATATTTAGGCACAAAGTAATGTTAATTTGTGGCCAAAAACATGCAAACGCAAAGACCACTATATACCTATGGACCTATGGCAAACGATTATTGTAAGATTGCAAAATTAAATATAAAAGGACCCTTAATGACTATGGTTTATGACTTACTTTGCTCGTAAGAGCAATGGTGGAGCAATACAGTTTCAAGTGTTCATGCACCTAGTTTTTTTACATTTATGCATGCATATTCATTTACACAATTGTCATACCAGTATAACGCCTTTTGGGGCGACTAACGGAGCGAGCGAGAGGGTGAGCCTTGCACGTGCGAAATTTCGAAGGGGTACCTCCAACTGACTTGTGCACGGCACCCTACTAACCGGTCTCTAGCGATGTGCCAAATTTGAGCACAATCGGCCCAGCCGTTCTCGAGATCTGGAAGCGGCACCCTGCACGTGCGCACGTGCAAAATGGGTCCCAACTGACTTGTGCACGGCACCCTACTAAACGGTCCCTAACTGTGTACCAAATTTGAGCGCAATCGGTCGAGCCGTTCTCGAGATCTGGAAACGACCCCTGCACGTGCGCACGTGCAGCAGCACCCCAACTCTGGCACATGGATATGTAGTGCCTAGTGGGTGCCTACCTACATGCCAACTTTCAGCGCAATCGGCCAAGTAGTTACCGAGATATTGCAACAATTACAAAAGTGACACCTCTTCGTTTTGCACGTGGCACGTGCATAAGGGGTCACCCACATGCATCGGGAATAGTCCAATACTTGGTAGAAGGGATGAAGCTACCCTACAAAAATTACCGCGTGTAAATCGGTCAAGTGGTTGCTGAGATATAAGCCTCGCAAAAGCGTCCGCACGGCCGGCCGGCCGGCCGGCCGGCCGGCCGCTCATACTCAGAAATTTCCGTTATTCTACGTAAGACTCCGCTCGCTTCGCTCGCTCCGTAATAAACTCCAATTTATACTAGTTACACCAAAACATTTATACACATTTCATAAAGCACTGCGACGCAATACGCTATCAACCACAAATAACGCATCTGCCAAGTCATTCTATAGGCTGGCAAGTATCGAGCATATCGTAATGAGGTATATTACTTCAGCATTACGTTGTGTTTTCTGTGGCAGTGATGCAAGTATTATTCAAAGCTGCATCTGATTGTCAGGTAGGCCGTGGACGTCATTAATTACAGCACAAATGCAAACTCATCGCCATTCAAAGGAGCCGCCTTATGCTCAGCCAATAGAGACCATGGGTTTCTTCAGCTAACGAACACAATAAACGATGCATCTCGGTGTTGGTCCGTTCGCTGGAGTGTCCAATGCAACTTCCCGTTACACTCCAGTGCGTAAATAGGTTACGGGGAAGTTAGCACTGCTCACAACTATGACGTCCGGTCATGCTCGTCAGAGTACCGCTCCGTAAAAGCATGGCTGCAGTTTCCATGCCGGATCTGCACCCGGTTGGCTCTGAGACCGGGGGAAACCTTGGCCGTGACGGGGGCATCACGAGTTGGAGCGAGGGTCGTCCTGCCGGTGGCCGTGATTTATTCACACAGGTCCGGACCGACTGGGGGGCGGAGACGGGTTTTTACTGGCCCACCGACCGTGAACCTGCTGCCCAGACCGACTTCCTGATCTCATCTTTGTGTGTCGCATTGCCATGAGGGTTCGGTGGTGAAACTAAACTGATTTTAAATAGACCTGGCATGAAAAGTGCTTAGAGAAATGCATGCAATGAAGTATGACGAATGGTAAAAAGTTGGGTGAGAAGCGACAGTGGGGTGGCTGCATTCCATATCACCTAGCACAGCGCTGCAGTGGATAATTCTCACGGTGGTCACGAAACACTGTGGATGACACCAAAGCCGAACGAAAGGAGCCTCGGCTAGTGTCCTTGAAGATGAGTGTCCCTAAATTCGTAATAACCGCAATGAAGTCCTTCGGTTCCCAGACTAATTGGCGAGTATTGCGTGCCGAGTCAACGCTACCCATTTGCTTACGCAACATCGTTCATTGAAGTCCTTTAATCATATTATGAGATATAATGTAACGTGAGCTCACACTGCATCCAAAAATATTTGATTCATTAGTAGCTCACTTTTTGAATGATCTGTGTTAGAACTGTTTTTAGTATGTGTTTGCCTGTCGAATTAGCTGTAATAACAATCAATGGATCTGATAATCAACGGTGGCTGGTCAGTGGGTCTGGGAATCGGTCAACCTCGACAGAGTTTTTCTGGCACTCGAAGAAGAGTAATCGCGGGAAGGTTTAACCAGGCATTCCTCAAAAGATTAGCGGGACCTTGAGACGGCGCAAATGCCTTTTTTTGTAAGCTGTCTGTATTGGTGAACCGGTGATGAAGATGAATGTGTCTTTAACCCGCGCGGGGCTGGGGGGTAAATTTTACCCCCCCTCGCGAATTTTTGCAATATATCAAAAACGGCGGCGCACAGCGCCGCCAAACTTTCAGTACCTTTTCTTACATCGATTTGACACATTCCCTGAAAATTTGAGCGAAATCCGTCGGAAAATTTTTGAGAAATTGACTTTTAAGTGACGTCATGTTCGCCATTTTCGCCTAAAAAACGGCAAAATTTCAAACGCCGCTAACATCTTCATTTTTAAAGGAATCAAGACGTAACAAGAAAGGATATACGTAATTCTACTTTGTCTATCAAATAGCTATCTCGGTTTTTTGAAAATTTTGGATTTTGGCCCATTTTTTCAAAAAACTGACTTTTATGGGAAAATAATTATAAAATCCAAAATGTTGAGTGTATCGAAAAAAACAGGAATATACGTCAGAGAAGTGGTCTATGTGCACCTACATACCAATTTTTAGAAGAATTGGTTCAAAAATGTAGGAGTTATTCAAAATTTTATGACGTCACGACACAAAAAAAAATGAAAAATGATTTTTTTGGAAGTTCTAGACCTCGTACGGAAACCAAAATAGCACCATTCGATTCGTCGTGAAAAACTGCATCAGATAGACACCTTTTTAGGCCTTAACAGCCAACTTCAAAATTTGACCTCACTTGACCTGACCTTGACCTGACCTCGACCTGAAATTCATCCAGAGATGGTCCATATTACTTATTGAGTGTGCCTATTGAATTCTATGAGTAAAATGACCCATAAAACATGTGTCGCACATGCCCTTTTCTATATTTTGTTTTGGTGACCTGACCTGACCTGACCTGACCTTGACCTTCACCTCTGAATGATATAGCATGCAACGAATATTGTCTTGGTAGCCTAAAAACACGTTTTGGGCAATCAGTCTCAGTCCACGACTCCATTCTTCGGCAACTACGGTGCAAGGCCGATACTGTAGAGACTTGCAATTTGTACCCTTGACCTGACCTTGACCTTGACCTCAAACTTTAAATTATGTACATGTTTTTAGTTGTTCGTGATGAGATCTTTCGATTGGCGTTTGAATTTTCCAAATCGCACCATTAGTTCGGGAGATAACAGGGGGGGGAGTAAAATTTACCCCCCCCCCCGCCCCGCGCGTTCGGCTGGAGACCCCAGCCCCGCGCGGGTTAATTCTGCTCAGTAATCGTCAAAATGCTGTTTTCTTTCACAGGGACCAGTAGCTGATGCCTGTGAAGTTACTAAATATTTACAACTTTTCTTCTGAATCGCCCATCAAAATAATACACTTCTTGGCCTTTGACTATGGCAGCCAGTTAACATGGCAGACCACAATGTTCTGAAGACATTGCAGCAATATTATCGCACCATACACCAGCCCAGTAACAGTATTGCTCTTAATCTACATAGATCGCGCCGTCTCCCACACTATCGAGTCATTTCCTGTCGGTAATGGTGACGGGATGGTCCGAGTGAGAGCCCGTGAATCGGGAACCATGTGAGCCCTGCACGCCGCTGCGGTGGGGCGGGTCATAGGTCACGGTCACGACGCGCTCCTCTCCTCCCCGCCCCTCCCCGTCCCGGTCCGCTACAAAGCATGGGAGGAGCTGGGGTCTACGGTGACCCATTCACAGCCCGTTACTTAGGGAGTCGAGAGAAGACAGCCACCGCCACGACAGTCATCAGCGACCCCGGTCGAGCGGACCGCTTGGGTCGAAAATTTACCGGACGGGGAAGCTGATGGGCAAAGATAAACGTAATCTCGTCAGGCCCTGTAAAATAGTTTCGGAAACTACAACTTGACGTCGCATGGTGGCACAATGCGGTTGATACCTTGGTGGACTAGGGTTCACTTTTTATGGTACTAAGAACCTCCTCATTGGATAAATGAATTATATATTACGTATTGATGCACAGCATCAAACATGAGTGTTTCATTCAGCTCATTGTTGGTGTAATAATACCAGGCGCTAATGTTTCTCCCTTTCATGTAAAAAACTCATGCAATTGATATTGGAGTTTTCAGCGGATGTCCTATCCGATAGAAGGGAAACATCGCTAAAGCATGACGTCTGCTTGTCCTCGTGCCCTGTTTTGTTCTTACTAGTTACGGTCATTGGTCATGGACCATGCCAAAAGTCTTAAGGAAGAGTAAGGGGCACAAAATGGAAGGGACGACATTCCGTTAGGGATTAACGGATGGAACGAACGGGTACCAAAGGACACTACTTATCAGTTATCACCGACTCGCTACTGGAGGGCGCCAAAGAACAATTTTCTACGTTGCCGGCCTTGTCTGGTATTTCTTCAAGCGCTCGGTAAAAACGTGATGGATTGGCATTTGATGAATCAATTAGTGGCCGAGAGTTGGCGTCAGCTGAGGTTTCGCCTTGACCGTGACACCCGGCGTCTCGGTCACACCACCTGGCCGTACGCACGTGCTCTCCACCTCCCCTCCCCCCCCTTCCTATCGCCCACCTGTCTGCTCTCTCTCTCTCTCTCTCTCTCTCTCTCTCTCTCTCTCTCTCTCTCTCTCTCTCTCTCTCTCTCTCTCTCTCTCTCTCTCTCTCTCTCTCTCTCTCTCTCGCTCTCTCTCTCTCTCCTCTCTCTCTCCTCTCTCTCTCTCTCTCTCTCTCTCTCTCTCTCTCTCTCTCTCTCTCTCTCTCTCTCTCTCTCTCTCTCTCTCGGACCGGGTGCCACGCTCCGCCGGTCTGTCGGTTACCCCACGGCGCCTCCGGCTCTCTGAGGACCGTTGGAACCTCAGCCGCTCCGGGCAGAGGTCCGCAGGTCACGTCAAGGCCGGTGCCCCCGACCGCAACACGCTGACCCGATGACAGCGGCTGACGGGTCGCTAATGGACCACAACAGCCACCGCTGGCGGATCTAATCGAGCCCGCCCATAGGCCGCTACAGCAGAGTAGCTGCGACCATCACCCACGCACGCAGGCGCTAATTTCTCTGACAGGGACGGGAGGGGGAGGGGTGCGGGTGTCTGACGACAGGCCCCACTGGGTGGCCGTCTGTCCGGAGAGGAGCGACCGAGTCTGTCCGCGGTCTCCAGACAGGAGCGGCCAGGTCTGTACTCCGGCAGCCGGCGCCGCGCCGCGGACGTCGCTAAGCGTGTCACGGATGGTCGACGGCCGGTGTGTGTTTCTGGGTGTGTCCGCCCACGATGCGCGCTTCGCAGTCGGCGGCCGTTGAGAAAGCGGGCCAAACGTCTGAGCCGAATGGTGAATATGCCGGGAACGCTGGAAAAGCTGCGGTCGCCGGCTGACCGCCGTTCGCAGCGCGGCCGTCGCTCGAACAATCGCCGCGAGCACGTCTGGTCAGCGCACTGGACCAGTTCCTCCGGCCGGGGAGGACCGCGGCAGACCGCGCCCGGTCGGCCGCACAGCTCTGCAGTGACACGGTTTACCGCGCCCGCGTACTGCCGAGGTCACTCCACTTCGTGCCTCACATTAATCAGCATCATTTTGCGCGTTTATTACACAATACACAACCCAAAGTTTCCGTTGCCCCAGCTAACTGCAGTGGGCTGTGATAGGTCAGTCGCGGTTGACAGTCATGTCAGCACCCACGCTGCGCCCCACAGAAGCCATGGGTGACGCAATGGGACGCACCGTCCATCATGTCAGCAAGCTGGAGCCGCCGTCAACCAGAACCAAGCGAGCTGGTCAATTTCATGGTTGGACCCTCTGCGTGGTAGAGCAGAGGTCAGCTAATTGCAGCCCCGGGGTCGGTTGACTTGTCCCGTCCCGACCACTGTGCTGCGCTAACCTGCTGGACTGAGCTGAGTTAGACCAGCCTATGGGTGCAGAACTTTCTCGCCATAACTGCTGTTCATGGAATGCAGGCATGGCTAAGGTATGCCGAGTTGGTTGTGTCGAGCGAGACTTGTGAGGAGGTAACGGCTGCGTTGGGCCAAGTTGGCCGGTTCCATGTAGTATACCTTCTGATCCACTCACGTCATGCGCTGCGTGGGCATACTCCATCGGCCATTGACGCCCTCCACCCCGCAGATCAGATAGTTCACCTTCACGCGTCAAGTGTCTGACGCAGCATCTGGTCTGATATTTCCCGACATCCGGCCACTGAGGGGCTCACCGACGGCCTTCAGAGAGAGGCACGACGCCGTCCGGTGACGGCCGGGTGACTCAGGACTGCGGGGGTGACTGGACGCCCTCCGACCAACAAATGGCCTCTCTCGGCCGACCTCTCTCAGACCAGCCCATAGTCGGTGGTCACGACTGAGAAGCGCGTGCCGTAAGGCACCACAAACGACCACCCACGGGGATACGAATGTATATCCTTGTGGGTAGAGGTGGCGCTATGCTTTAGTGGCTTTATTTGGAGCCCACTGTGACACATAAGATATCACTTCCGCTTGAGACGCGCCCTCCCATATCCCAGCGCCCACTGCCCATCCCATGGAGTGCATCATCCCCTCCCTCTTCCCCTTTGGGAAGTGGCAATGTGCCTCCCCCCCCCATGACGTGGTGGGCGGCCCCGCCCCC